TTTTAAAGGAGTGTGAGTATGCGAAAGGAAGTGTTTATTATAAAATTTATTATTAATAAATAAAAAAAAATTTTTTTATTCGGTTTTTATTTTTTTTTTTATCAAATGGCAAAAATAACGCACCATGGTTTTGAAAAAAAAAAATGTATGTAGATCAATCTATGTAATACAAAAAAGAAACCTAACTATATTTATTTTGAAGATCTACATCTGTATTACTTATTTAAAAAATATTAAATTAAAAAATTTATTGTTGATCGTAAAACATGTAACTAGTAATAAGCAGTATAGTGGTGCGTTTTTTTTGGAAGCCACTGTATATCATTGATAATTTATTGTTAAATCCAGTTATAAGATAATACATTATAACAAGTTTTTTTTTATTTTGTTGATTTGTTATAGAATTTTTTGTTGAAAGTTTATACCAATAATAACTTCATCAAAAAATCCTTTTAATTTTGGTTTATCTTCTAACATTTTTTTGAATTTATCGGAAATATAAATTGGTCTTTTACTATTTTTATATTATTTTTTATATAAAATGTTAGATATAAATAACAAAAATAAAAAAAATCGATTGATGATATGAAAGTACGTAAAAAAAAAAATAAAATAGAATCGATCGATGAATAAGAAAGTACGTATGTAAAAAAAATTAAAATAAAACTAAAACTTACCTAATCGAAAAACAAAAAAAAAGAAGGAAAGTGCGAAAAAAAAAAAAAAATAATAATCGAAATGAATTTTCGAAGTATATAATATAGTTTTGACTTTTGACGGGATTTTATTATGGTTTCGAGTTTCGACGGGTTTGCCAATAAGGTTTTATTACAGTTTTGCCAATGACCTCGTCGGAACCCGAGAGTTTTGCCAGGCAACTATAATTTCAAACGGAAACTCTCTTTTACACAATTATTTTTAACAGCATATTATTTATCATCTGTTGTCTTTTTAGTTTAGAAACAGGCGGCAATTTTTTAAAATTAAACATAATGTAAATAATAATTAACGCATTTGGAATAATGTTTTAAAAATACCATGCAAATTTTATTGTTCTATTTATATAATTAATAATGATTGTGAATTTGAAGAGTGAAATCCGAAATTTGGCAAATTAAAAAACTAGATACATTTAGAGCTTGCACTAAAATTTTGATGTTATGCATCATATATATAATTTAAAAAAATTAATAGAAAAATCACATATGCCTCATTTTTAAAAGTTCGGGCGAAAAAAAAAAAAATGGTGTTTGTCACGATATAAAATCAAAAATTTTGTCACAAGTACAGTATTACAATACAGAATCGGATTCTATCTATTAAATAATTTTGCAAATTTTGCAAAATCACTATTTTTAATGTCTAAAAAATAAACAGGGATGGGACAATTAAATAGTAGGTTACGCTTCGGCGACAGGAGTAGGAGACGCATTATCTTCATCTGAGAAAGTCTTGCAGCAGAAACCACCAGGGTATGCTTCACCAGTAGGTAAGACAGAAAGCGTAATCAATAAAATAAATGCAAAAATAAATTGTTTCATGATGTCTTTGCTTTGAAAGATAACTTGTATTTAATTTTATTAGAGTTTTCTCTGTGTGTGGTTATTGATAATTTTATTTTTTATTTTATTTTTTTTTTTTTGTGAATAAAATTGTTATGACTTGTCTTTTCAGAGTAACGAAACCACCATCTTTTATAATAAAAAAAAAATAAAGATACCCGATTTCCTAATACATTTTAATTCCGTGCAAATCGTTTAAAATTATGGAGGCCAATTTGAAAATCAAGGGAGCGTACTTTTTTCATTTGATCATATACATATATGGTAAGATACTAAGATTTTTTTTTTAATTTTTTTTAATCCATACATGGGAATCTGCATCCAATTATTAAATCTATTAAAGTTTGATTAAAGTTGGATTACTTTCAATCACGTACATAAAGACTAGGGAAAATAAATCTATTTCGAAGAAAATGTCCATATGCACAAAATGTTTACCAATCCTAAATTATTGTAAATGAAAAAAAAGGATCCAGTAAAATCAAGTCATGAGATATAATGTATCATACAAAGATTTATTTTTAAATTAGGGATGTTAACCGCTCCTTACGATTTAAGAGATCACTAACTCTAGAGAAGTCTAATCACTTATCTATAATAAGTAACCCCAATCAAAAAATGTCATAAATACTTTTATAATTAAATTTGTAAAAAGCGATAATTGTATTCAAAATTGGCAATTTTATGGGACCGCTCATTAAAACATTACAATAGACAAGTTTAATAATAAAATTTATAAAAAATAATTTTCTTTGAACTTTTCATGTGAAATCACAACTTTGTGAATAAATAATTCTTTCCTTGTTACCTCGCCAAATTTAATTTTGTATTTGGATTTCACAACATTACCGATCATGTCTGGTTGCTTTGCTAGGACTATACTGGCAGTATTTGACCAAATTGCTGGATGTTTTGATGCATTGTGAAAGAAGGAACGCAATACTGGGCTAATGATGTTGGCAGTCAGAGTGTCCTCGAGAAGGTCCTTCAATGGCTTAACAGGAATATTTTTCGTTCTGTGAAATAGGTAAAAAATTGTTATAGCCAGCTGATATAAGATATAAAAAGCATTTAATGATTACGAGAATATGCTCTCAAATTCAAACTTAAAATATTTCACCCGATTCTCTGCCATTTGCTCATGCTTTTGAACGATATGCGCAGATATATCCTTCTCTTAAAACATATACTATATCGCAAAAAGATATTTATAATTTTCATCAAATGAAATTGAATCATTCAAAAAGTCTCTCTTGATCATCATCCACAAATTCATCAAACATAAAATTCTTAGGGTCTCGGTCACCTACATCAAAAAATCATCACTGTCAATTACTTCGCCTTCACTTGTGGTTGGGAGAGACGAAGGAACTCGAATAAAATATTTGATGTTCGGGTATTCGTGGTGGAAGGGGAAGAGTGACAACGCGTGGAGGATGGATTTGAACATTGATAACGGGTTGGTAATTCTCACCGTCTATTCTCTTTTTTTTTTCAATAGTCCTAAAGGATTTAAAATATAAATATTTAATTCTGCCGATTTCCCAACTAAAAATATATCTACCTCTTGATATCTTTTTTTTAAAGCGAATAATTTCAAAATTTTATTTCAGCGCAAATTTTAAATCCTGTGCATTTTCCGCCTAAACTAATTTAAAATATATGCGCAAAAAGTTGTTATATGCGCTTTATATATAAAAGTAAATCTTAACATGCGCACAAAAAAATTATTTATTATTAAATTTAATGACTTACAAATGAGAATCTTGAGAATTTATATGATCCCGCCCAATTTACATATGAAATTAAAATTTACTAAGTATTTACATTTCCCATCGCCTTACTTTTAAATTGATCCAATGATCATATGGGGACCAGTTCAGCAAAAGCCGGGTTTAGCCAAAAATTTTGATTTTAAAATTATATTTATTGATCTAATTTTTCAGAAAATAAAAAAAAAAATTTATATATAGCATATTCAAAAAAATATAATATTTATAATTTATAATTGCTGTATTTTTATGTTATTATATTTAATGAATGAAATAAACTTACAAAAGCAAAACTAATGCTTTTAATAAATTCCTTGCAAAATTTTACCCTAGTTATTTCAGAATAAATTGCAATTTACTAAATTAACCAATAATTTTAGGGGATCCTTAACCTGTTCTGGGGGTATATGTTTAAAGATGACTTCATAATTAGCATACACATTCCCATAACCCCATCATACAAAATAATAATTGTCAAAAATTAACTATATTTAAATATTGTTTTGTTAATATGATCGTAGCGTGAACTGAGGTACGCAAAAGTCAAAAAAAAATAATGCAAAATATATATTTCTATTCTTTAGCAAAAATTTTACTGATGTCTTTTCTGCACTTTTCAGGTAATTGATCTTATATAATGAAGATAACTAATAATCTAACTTGTTGGGAAAACTTCATAAGATATAGATTTTCTCAGGTGAATCAAAAGAATAAGCGCCTTTTCACTTTTCTCATATTGAGGCAGTTCACTTCAGTAAATGTATCAGTATGATAAAAAAGATTTGAAATACTTTTTTTATATGGTCAGGTGAAATGATTATGTTTTTTTATTACTGGCATGCAAGCAAATTATCAGATTTTGTATTGTAAAACTCATTTTATATATACAAAAAAATATCAATACTTTATTCAATGAAATAAAAAATATTGCTGAAGCAACAATTAATACATAAAAAATTAGCTCATTGTTGCAAAAATAAAACATGACCAAATATTTCAAAAATTAATCTGATATTAATAAATTATTTCTAACTATCAGAGGAGGGTATTCAAATGTTTACAATAATATGAATTGTATTATTAGGAGATCACTAGGAAAAATATCTAGAAATTAATTCAAATAACAAAATTATAGGCTGGAAGAATTACTAACACTAACTAACTTCCATTATCGATAAAATAAATTACTTCAGTTATAAGTAATATGTAATATGATAATTTGTTGGGAGAAAAGATATTTCTGCAATTCAAATATTTCAGATGGGCTAACTACTCAGATAAAATTAACCTTATATTTAAAGAATAATAAATACATCTTAAAGAAAGTATCTTTCTCAAGGAAAAATGCATTTGGAAATGATAAAATTAAAGGAATTGTACTATATTTACATAACTGTTATCAAATATTATACTACATATAATGATTCATCTATTAGGTTTTTAAATGACAATACTTACCTCTATTTATTTGCTTAGCATTAGGATATTTCCCTATCATCAAGTTCTTTAGTTCCATCTATTGAGAATAATTATTAACATATAATTTTAAAGTATTTGAATTTGGCCTGAACTACTAGCTGAACAAATCTAGTACTATGAAATATTCCATTTCATCATCATCATCAATTATATCTGTAAAAATTACAAGAAATTTCGTATTATCGTTATATCCATTGGCAAATATGAATCTTTTATAATAATCATTTAGGTTTATAATAGTTATTCATAACTTTATGATTGTTTTATATTGAGGATGATCAATATGCATATTTTTAATGCGTGAGTCATTGAATCATAAAGGTAAAATAAAACTCTTAGTGTACAATGACGATGAGATTATATACAATAAATAAATACATAACTTAAATTAATCTTAGGTATACTTGTAGAAATTTAGTCACAGAATAGTAAAAAGATTTTTGAGTACTTTTTATAATAGGCAATAGTAAATAGCAATTCAAACAGAAATTTTTGCGAGAAATCAATACTCTCATATTCTATCTTATTCAATCATCATTTTAACTGATATTTCTTAACTTCTATCCATCTACTAAAAGAACAATAAACATATTCCTTATATGGTAGAATTATTTTGGCTGGATTAATTTTTCTAATATATTTTGAGTAACTTTTTCTAAATAAAGCATGAAACTCATCATAAGCTATATTATACTCTTTTTGTGTCTCAGAATTTATTACCATCTGTCCTTTTCTAAGTATACCTAAGAATTTCTTTCTATCAGGAATACCATCATTTCTCACTGTTTTCCAAACTCATTTTGTCAAAGATTCAGGTCTCTTCTTGTAATTCCTGTAAGCTCACTGAATAACTGTTGCATAAAAATTTTCAAAGCTATAATGATAGTAGTATTTAAAATAAAAAATCCTCAAGATTGCTTCATTGATCTTTCTGAAATACTTTATTAAAATAGTTATAGATTAGAGGATCTAACCCAAAATAGATAGATTATGCATAGCGTCTGCAGGTGATACATTTCATATATAACGCTTTCAGCTAATTTCACTAGGCGACTATGCATACAGATTATGTAGTCGCAAAAAAATAATTTATGAATATAGTTGAGACAAATTTCTATAATTAAAACATTTCTCTGAATCAGTCAGTCAAACTGGTTAAACAATTGTGACTTTTGTTCCACCTTTTAATCTTAATACAATACTTTTTGTGGATGGTAATAAGTTATTTTATTTTACATATTGAGATAAGATAAATATTTCACTTGTATTGCTTTTGCAATTTGATAATTGATAAGAAGTTAGTGAAATCATTTCTTGCTTGGTAGGTGAATTACAAGCTAGCTTGAAATTTGAAGCACTTGGCATAATATTTTTTGCTATGATTATTTTGGCTAAAAGGTAAGTTTTATAGCCAGTTGAACAACTATCGTAATTATATGATACCAATGCTAATTTATCCTTTTCTGAATGTAGAGTAGATTGGGATGAAAGTTCTAGCTGAAGACGCTTTATTTCAGCCTCTTCTTGTAATATATACTGTTTATACTACTAGATCTGAAATTTCCTCCTATCAATAGCTTGGAGAATTTCTTTTCTTTTTACATCTTCGATTAGGTTAGCTTTACTAACAATACATCTCTTCAAGTAGTCATCTCGATAGAGAAATTCGCCTATAAGCCTTTCAGGAATGATTACTAGGAAGTCACACACACTACAATATATATAATTTGTTAGATTTTCGCTAGGATGGAACTCTTTACCATCTTCATAAAACTTTGCATACATGCGAATATATCCATTCTTAGAAAATATTTCTGGGTTCTCTTCAAGTATTTTTCTAAATGGACCACGAATACGAGAACACCACATTTCTGGTGTTTCATTATCATGTTTATATTGTAAAAGGTGTATTGCTTTTATTATCTCATTATATCTATCATCACGATCAGGCAAACAAAGCTTATAGTAGGCATTACCGTTACTATCTAAATCCATCTTTATAAATCTTTAAGCGATAAAATAGTGTTTTTAGTGATTTATATCGTTTATAGTGATTTATAGTGATTTATATCAGTTTGTAACAAGTATATTATAATAAATATCAGATTCATTTTTATTCGATTTGTTCAGGTGAAAACAGATGTTATAACCCCAATGTCATGATTCGGTTAAATTAGATCCGATCACCATAGACGGCTAAACTATATCACATATGATCTCCCTAGTTCCCTCGATAGTTCTAGGTGTGTTCCAGGTTCTATAAATCACGAGATGATCGGCCAATCAGATTCGGAAAGTTTTTATTAATAGCATATACAAGTTAAAAAAAGGAGAAAGGTCTGATATGAGCAAAGCTTTATTTTACTTTTCATTGATAAGCACATAATTTTCATTTACAGATAAAAATAAACGAAAGGAAAGAATCGATATAAACTATATTTTTTTATTTCGGGTCAACGAAATCACGTGAATGTGGCACAGTAAGACTTCATACTATTGTTTGCATTTTTGTACCTTCGTCGGACTATGAAACATTGGCTTGATCATCATTCTTGATTTTGATTGTTTGTTCATTCTTATTGCGGTCTGATACGATGTGGCCCCATTATTGACTATAACCTAGAAAGATACATTAGGATTAATAACCTTATATAAATAATGTCTGCACAATTGATCGCCTGCTTACTCGAATTATGTTCAGGATTTGATAGCACTGCAAGGCAGTACCCCACGATGTGGAACCCCTTGGAAGCTCGAACTCTCCAATTAATATCATGCGGTAGATCCCTTCGAACCGGAGGTCCATCACATAGGCTCTTCCCAAGAACCCTGAAAACAAAAAATGGAAATTTCAATATGAAAAACAGAGATTGAACTGTTATTTATTCACAAAATGTACTTACCGATAACCTGCATGCCACATATAACCAGGTCATCTGCACCGTCTTTGATAGATTTATCTATCGCACACTTCATCGTTTTCCCGAGGGAGACAAAATCCTCCGAAATAAGAGCAGTGTTCGTTTTATTCGGTTTGATCTCAACGATAAACAATTCAACGTGTTTTTGTGGATTCGTGGTCATGACAGTGAAATCAGGTTTCGTACCCAAACGTTCAGGATCAAAACGTCTTTTTGCGATTGCCGATGATTCCGACATCTTATTCGCCCTGTGCGCGAAAGAAGAAAAATAAAATAAGGTTTGTATACAACAAAAACATAATACTACTAATACCGCTCCATTAATTATTAATTATCAACAAATACCCTTCAAAGGTAATTCTTTTATTGTTCTTAAAGAAAGGTTTTAATATTATTGGGGTGATGTTTCGAATTGTGTGGGTGTCTTCAACAACATAATTTCTTGTGAATGAGGACTGCTCATTGTCAACCCTGTAACAAACGAGAATAAGTTCATTTTGAACACAAAACTTTCATTGCAATTTTCGCGAAACATACAGTTCCCTAAACATCTCTATGATTATTTCTTCTTCTTCGGTTATAGCTTCAAAATTTCGTAAATAGCGCCTTGCAAGTTTTTGACGTTCGGTTTGATTTGGTTCCTCACACGGGATCTGCAGATACTCATAATTAGAACTGAATATGTGCCTCCTCAGAAATTAAACATATTACCTTAACGATGTTTAAAAACAGATTACTAATCTTATCCGGGATCGGTGCATATGGATATAGCCCATGAAACTCGGCAAAAAGCTCCGCCCATAATTCATCATCAAAATATTCACATAATCCGAGGGGACTTTGTTCTTGAAATACGAATACGTGGCTTAAAATCCTGTAAAAGAGGAAAAGCTTAGTCATGTCTTCATAACTTATATTACTATATGTTACTTACAGTTCTTCTGTAGCATTCAAAGTAACTTCTATCGATTCACATTTTTTAACCACAACTGCACGATATTCACGACATATCTCAGTGATGTCGATGTAGTTTACAACCCACTGGAAAGAGAGGAATAACAAATAAAAAATAATTAATATTTCATTCAAATCACGCCATGCATTAAAGATGCTTACTCGAATTGAATTTTCGTTCAGGCGCCATTCGGGAACACCGGGACCAGTGAGGTAATCCATAGAATAACTACGGTTTTCTACAATTATATATTCTTCGCTAATATTGCAATCAGGAGTAGATGGAGCAGATGGAACATATAACGAAGTTGTTGTCGTTGCAGAAGGGACCTCATCCAAGTTGACTGTTTTGATCTGCAAAAGCACCTGAGAAGTGAGAAGACGTTTTCTAGAAAGCCATACATTAAAAAACATGATGGCTACCTTATCTTCCGGGGTAGAACAACGCCGACGACGTTCGTATGAAGTATCTTCAACGATCGCATCTTCCGTTCCGCTCTCATCGGACTTGAAAATAGTGGATTTTTGTTTTGTTCGAGAAGATTTCAATTTCATCTAGATCGCAAGGAAGGTAATTGCACAGAACATATTAATAGGTTATTTTATTCTCGGAACAATTGGTTCAATAGTGGCCTCACTTTTTTCGTCTGCTTCGGCAAGGTTACATTTTTATCCGTTATTTCCTCTCCACCATCTCGGTGATGTTTTCCAGTTAGACGACAATTATCGATATTGTCAATGGATACAGTATTTCCAGTCGCGAGCACCTGCTGTTCTATCTAATTGAAAATAACATTACTCATAGTTTTTTACCTTATGAAATTTTCAAGTTAGAATCTCACCTGATGAAACTCGAACTTGAAACCTGTATCATTCTGTTTTGTCCTATTACTTGCGGTCCAAGACTTAATGAAAATGTATTATAATTAGCAAGAAACATTGTACAACAATCAAATAAGAGTTATTCATTAGTTTAAATAAACTCTTTAGGAAATAAATTATCAAATATATGAGCGTCGAACAAGCAGTTCATCACTGGCAACTAGCAGTCCCAGTTTGCACTCGAAAAAGAAGCGTCGAACAAGCAGTTCATCACTGGCAACTAGCAGTCCCAGCTTGCGCTAGAAAAGGAACGTCGAACAAGCAGTTCATCACTGGCAACTAGCAGTCCCAGCTTGCGTTCAAAAAGAATAAATAACTAGGTTTTCCTCAAATTATTTATAAAAATCTACCTTCCAGGAGTCTAGGATTTCTTGAGATTTTCTTTGTGCATGACGCTAAATCCGGAATCTGAAGTTGTGATGTATCGAAGATCCTTCTTTACTTTATCAAGTACATATTCCCAATCTTTTCGTTCTAGATTATTACGATAATGCTTTACTATATTAGCACACGTCCAGTCTATAAATGCGGTATAACGATAAAAATCCATGACAGACATATTTGCGTTTGGAGTCAGATTAAGCTGGAGTGGAATCAGGTTAAGCTGATGATTGGAGTATATCACGTGAATATATATTGAGTTAGGTTTTAAAAACTCTACTATACTCATCTGTATATAGAAAAGGGACTTACGATAAGCTTTTCTTTTTGGGAATGATCAGCCATCTTATTATGATCTTTCTTTTTCTGGGGATGAAATCAAAACACTTGCAACGTTTATTCTTTTTTAGTCAGATCTACTCCTCCGAATTTGGAAAAAAATCCAGTTATTAATTACTGGATTATCGATTATATACTCGAAGATCACCCACCCTCCTCCTTCCAAATAAAAAAAACCTGATCTCCATCTGTCCGTGTAACTTACCCAAATAATATTTTTTCAATCCACTTCGCAAAAACAAATTTGAAATAACTTTTAATAAAATAAGATTAAATTCAAAAAATTAAATTCCTTTATCTTTCTCATACTTCTTTTAAATTTCTGTATTTACTTTTCGTTTTTTTTTTTTTTTACCTTAATTCGAATTCGTTCGATGGGAAAAAAACCTTATCTGTATTACATAAATTCCCAAATCAACCTTTTCAAAAAATTCTACCGCAAAGTAGAAAAAAAAATTTTTTTTCTTTTCTTTCAAAATTTGCACCATCCATGTGGAAAATTCGACGATGTGATTAAGAAAAAAAAAAAAGTTATATACAATGTATATACACACATATACACACACTTTGACTTGTAAAAAAAAAAAAACTTTTCTTCTTTCCAAAAAAAATAAGAAGAAAACCAACAAAACCCACAAAAATCACAAAAATCAAAGAATGCCTTCCAAATTTATTACATTTATGAGTACTCCGAAAGGATGACCAGAAATTACACTTGAAAGAAATGACCGCAGTTACCAAAATGGACGAAGAAGATCCTAAAATAATCGTATACTTAAAAGTAAAAGCGTTCATCCCCCTAGACGAGTTAGCCGAACATAATATCCACCCGTTCGAAACTGGTGATGTAGTATACCTAAAAGGAAAGTTTATCGGATTTCTGAACTGGTATTAAGTATGCCTTTTTTCATATCTTTCGTACCGTATTTACCCCCAAAAAAACTTAAAAAAATAAATCATCCCACATTTAAGGTAAATGCCACCGCAATTAAACTAATCAAAAATATAGAATATGACCAAATGCCTGTCACAGGAATCAACGTAATGCTCTCGAGCATTACTACTCAGGTTGTCAGGAATGTAAACGAAAAATCTGTAATAGATTTTTACGTAGAAGAGCACCTCAGAGAGAGAGAACCCCGTAATTTCCACTTGAAAGTCAGACACAGCCTGACGAATAACTACCTCGCCAACAAAACTTCCTCTATCAATTCCGCAAATAATATTAGATCTATCACAGCCCTTCTAGTAGGTAACATACACTACGAAGAACCTACCAAAGATCCCTCTACTGGAGAGGAGCTAACATCAGGAAAACATGTCCTAAAATTAGAGGACATATCCTTGATCCCCGTAACTCAATCCCGCACAAATACTCGACTGTTAAACCTCCTGTGGTCTAACAACAGCAGCCCAAAAACCAATGGCAGAACGAGCCGCGGTCCAAGGTTAACCAATACCAGAAAGCCCAAAAAAGTCGACAAACCTTGTCTCAGATGGAGGTCACATCAACAGATCTGACCACAAGCCTCACAGCCGCGTTGAACGCAAACCTGCTTCCCCCTAATTTCCCAACAAGTTCATCCGAAAGTAATGACAACACACTTCTGGAAGTTTAACAAAATTAATTAAACATCAAGAAGAAAATTTTCTTTCTATTCAACCATAAAAGAAGACATATACACTCCAACTCAACCAAACACATACTTGAACAATTTTTTACTTTCTTTTTTACTTCTTTTTTTCATTTTTTTTTATTATTTTTTTTATATATTTTTTATCTCTTAATTCTTTTTTGCGTTTTTTAAGAACATCATGTAACCAATCAAAAAGAAAACTCCTATATGTAAATAAACCTTTCGTTGCAAAAGATGCGATAACAAAATGAATTTTATTAAAGGGTCATAATACAAACAATGACATTAAATGAAAACTATGTACATAGTAATGTCCAACCAAAAAAAACTAACATTTGCTTTACCATAACCCCGAACCACGATTTTCTCAACGTTTCCGATTAAAAGTAAAAAAAAATAAATAAATAAATCAACCTATTAAATTAACTAAACCAAAACAAAGAAAATCGCATCAATGATAAACTCCTATCATACCTAAATAATCAAAGTAAAAGAAAAAGTCTAATAAATAAAATCAAAACTTTAAAATTAAACTTTTTTTTTTTTAAAAAAAAAATTTGATTAACCGAATACTGCATAACTGACTTTACCTATTTCGGTAATCTCAGCTATTTCAGCTATTCCTACAGTCAAAATTATATTTTGGCCATTAAATACAATTAAATTCAGATTTCGGCCATTTCGTCGATTAAAGTCAAACAACCTCAGTTTCATGCGTAATTACAAATCAACTACCCCACTATAAAAAAAAAAAAAAGTATTTAACTCGCCCAATTCCCCATGATCGCATACCTTCGTGATAACATTCCTCTAATCCTACCGATTCTACTGATCCACTAAAAATCTACTAAAAATCTTCTAAAAAATTGACCAAAACCTCAACTAAAAACATACAACCCAAAATTTCAAATAAATCTGTCAAACCTCTATCACACTTACCCCTCCCATCTTAAAAACTTACCCTGAACAAACTATAGCCTCACCTCCTACCATGACCCACCACATCAATACCATCTACACTTTCGATAACGAACACGAAACTACATTAGATTGGAGAACCTCTGATCCTCCATCACATAACACGAACATCTCCCACAAAACCTCACTAGAAACTCCTTCAAACGATCCACAACCGAATAACACTCACCAATCACCAAGACAACCATCATACTGGAGACCCTCATCGAAATTACAAAAACTATATGACAGATTCCAAAACGATATCCTAGGACAATGGTCTCGAATCGCCTGCATCTATTGTGGAAAGCTCCTATACTCCAAAAAAGCAAAATGGATACTTCACAACTCGTCAATCATCTACCCCATACAACAATACTTCCCTAACATTATCCTATCCTTCAACCCCAACACTGACCGCATTACTGAACCAAGAATTCCCACTTGCGAATCCTGCAAGAAACCCTCTACCAGATTCCTGTTTCCTTACCTTTCCCCCATGTCACAAGAAATCGTATCCGTCCCTTTACATAAAAGAAAACATCTATCCCCAGTATATCTACACTGCTCCTTAGGTAGAACCACCAACAGCAACCCTTGTAGTACTTGATATTTATGCAATTTAATTTCTTAAAGAAAAGAAATCCAGAAATTTATCAATTTATAACCTTGAAAAAAGAGGTAGAATTATGGTGTTTACCAACAGGATATAGCATATTATATCTACCACAACTGGATTATGCAAACTTTTATTTATTGATGACAATAGCAAAGTGTTTATTTGTGGCTATGATATCTATTGTGAGAAATTTTACAAAAAAGGGAGTGGTTAAAAATATTGAATTATTCTTAAAACGGATTGAGAAATTAGTAGATATATTTATCTTAGAAAATCTAGTTGATGATGATGTGATGATATAAAGACAGAAACAGAAGAAAGAGATGAAAAAAAATAGAAGAAATAATAGATATTTTATTTAAACTTACAACAGATATTAATCAAACAGAAAGTTGGTAAAAAAATAAATAAGTGGTTCAGTTTTACTTTTTTAATTAATATATTAATTTTATAATATTAACATTTACTATAAAAAATATGTCTAAGGAAAGTCATATAGTTAAAGAAAACTCAAAGTTAGTTTACTACTTTTTTATTATATATTAAATAAAATTAAGCTTCTAAAGTTTTTTTTGAATTAATAATTACCTTTAATGTATTACATATGCTACTTCTGATTATATATATTCTAATATATCTATATATACAGATATATCTTATGTAACATTCATGCTTAATGAAACATAATTTGAAGAGTATTTATGAAAAATTTAAAGGATACTGAAGTAGTATTTTGAATTTCATATAAAGACATAAATATATAATTTAGTATATACTGTAATTTATAATTAACTAACCTCATATCATTAACACAAAGTATAAAATTTTATTTAGAGATGTCATGATTGCTATTATTTGTAAAATTTAATATATATGCAATATTGCTGCTGTAATTATAAAATTTTTGTAAAAAAGTTTTGAGTTAATCTTATTATATTATTGTATATGAATAAGAATATATATGATTAAAAAATCTTAGTGATTTACTATAAATATATTTAATAAAAATGATAGTTTTCTTATATAAAATGATTGAGATTCAAAGAAAATAAGCAACAATTATGATAAAATATTTTAGTATTATGTTAATTTTTGTAATATAGTATAAGGCTATTTAAAGTGAATAATTACATCTTTTGTTGATATATTTTAAATTAATTAGTTTTTGATAAAATTTTATTATGATTTTTTGATCTAATTTAATAAGTTTAAAGTTTTTTTATTTTTTTTTTTGAAGTATTAAGATAGTAAAAGAAAGAGTGAAAGGTAACTTGAAGTTAAGTTCTAACTTTTTATTAAAATGGTTTCAATTTACACATTTTATTAGTAAAATATTTAGCACAAGTGAAGTTCCTTAAAACTATAGGAATGTAAATTTTGTCACTTTATTATATGGATATTTTGACAAAATATTTTATACAGAATCATAATTTTATGCAAAATATTACAAAAACTGTTTTACATTCAAAGTTTTATAAATATATTAGATCTTAAATTTTAATTAATTAAGTTAAGTATAAAATTTTGTTTAATGATATTTTTAATTATGCTTTTCAAATAGAATATAATTATTCATAAATTTGAAATATATTTTCAAATTGTTTGCTTTTAAATATTAGTGAGTTATGATTAGTTGATTGGCTTTTTTTAGAACACAGGTAATTTTTATTTTTCTTTCAAAAAATTGAAGAATTCTAATTAATGCTGATCACAATAAAAATATTACAAAAAAGATGTCACATTCTCAAAAATTTTCTCATAAATAATAAAATATTTTAACATTTTAATCTTTCTTCAACATAGGTAAAGTACGAAATTGTAACTAAATTAATTAAGACTGTATTATTTTAAGATAAGATTTAGATAATTGGTTATAGTAAGCTTATATTTTTTTAGTATTAAAGTCTAAATAATAAGAAATATAATTAAAGGTAAAGGCTTCTCTTAAATAAAAGCTATTTTTTTTTACAATTTCAACTTGTGATTTTGAATTTAAATCTATAAGTTATAAATATTATATCTCAAATACGTTAATATCTGAATTGCATATTTAGAATATTCTAAATCAGAATACATAATTGGGATATTCTAAATGCAAAGATATTCACTTGCTCTAAATATGTATTTATTTCAAATGCTAATATAAGTTTATTATATTTTATTTACAATTTAAATAAAATAAAGTTTTATAAATATAAATGTTAAAAATAAAAATATGTCTATCATTTAATAAACTCAAATCATTAGTGATCATTTAGTACAGTCTGAAATGAGTCTAAATTGGTCTTTTAGAATATTTTAAATGCTCATTTATGATATCTGAAATAAGCATTTAAGACATTATCTAAAATGTACATTTAAAATATTATCTAAAATATGCAATTGAGATATCTGAAATATGTATTTGGGATAAATGTATATTTGAAGTAAGTAAATTTCTTAAATAATCTTTATATTTAGAATATTCTAATTGCATATTTCTATTTTAAATATCCAAAATGCATATTTTAAACATTAACACATTTAAGGTATAATAGAGACAAAAAAAATTTAGGGATCACATAATAAAGACTTTAAATTGAAAAGAAATAAAAATATTTGAAAGTAGAAGCTTTACATAGAAAGAGTTACATAAATATTATTTATAATCATTAAAAAACAAAAATTAGATAAACCAATAACTCCAAGTAGGATTAAGCGTAATATATATCACAAGAAATTAAAGGATAACCACATTCTTTGCATTATCTTTCACTAAGTTTAAGTGTTTTTTACTAAAAAAAAGAAGCTAAAAAAGCAATATTACTGAAAGTTAAAATGATAATAATAAGTATGAAAATATAAATTTTCATAATGAATTTAAAAGTATTTGAAGGATTAATATCACAAATATTTTTATAATATATAAAGTTTATAAACAGATTCTTATAGGAATGTAGCTTAAAGATGTTGAAACTGGCAGAAACTGATAGACCTGTTGAATATGACATATATGCTAAACATGCCATATCTGCTAAATAGAACATATTTATAATTTATATCATTTTTATTATTATTATCATTTATTATATCTTTATTATATCTATTATTATTATTATTTATATTATAATTAATATATCTGTTAACTCTGTTATTATTGTCAGTAATATCATATTTATCATAGATTTTCTTTAATTGTAATTTTTCTATATAAAAGGCATGAAAATGCCTTGGAAAAAGGACAAATACAAACAAGATCTCAATATTGTATTCAATATACATTCATTAACAATAATAAACAACTTTAACATTTTGTAAACATAAAACTTATAATTTATTTCTTGTTAACTAAATAAACTCTCTAATAAACAATGTGTTAAGTTGATTAGATTAGTACTTAGTGGGCCTCTATTTGCTTCAATTATAGCCTGAATTCGCTGCAGCATACTATCAACCAAATTTTCAATAGTATGTATAGGAATTTCTTGCTATACCTTCTTAATGTATCAGTTGAGTTCAGCAAGATTTAAAGGTTTTTTTTCCTTTTATGAATACTTTTCTTGATATCGACCCACAGATTCTCAATTGAATTAAAGTCTAGACTTTGAGCTGACTATGGAAGTATACATATATCATTTTCCGCATGAAATTTCTTTGCAAGTTTCATTTTATAAAGGTAAGCATTATCTTTCCAGAATATACTATTACCATTTGGAAATGCATGTCTTATAGTTAGCATAACGTGCTTGTAAAGAATGATAACATGTGAAACACCATTTGCTGTTCCAAATAATGGAATAATGGGTTCTAAACCTTATCTTAAAAAGCATCCCCAAAACATTCAGCCAGGGCTGTGTTTTACTGTAGCAAAATATAAGAAATGTTCTACTTTTCCTGAAATTCTCACTATACTTGACTACATCAGCTTTGTTAGAATTGAGAAAAGGTCGATTCGTCACTTCACATGACTTTCGACCAATTATCCTTTTTCAGCTTTGGTGATCCAAACACTATGCAAGACGTGCCTCCATATTTGCTGGTGAGATTAGAGGTTTTTGTCGAGCAAAATAATTGGTTAGCGTAATTGCACAAAGTGTTCGACCAATAGTGCAAGCTAAAACACCTTAGCCGGTCTTTTTTTTCAAAGTTGTTGAACTTCTGCAGTACATAAGTGACGATTTTTCCTTTATTATTAATTGTAAGTCGCTTAAGTCAGTTTCATTGTAAAGGTTCAATAAGAGGTGGTCGATCAAAATAAGACTTTGAATTAGTGGTTCTAGTGTTATCTATCCTTTTTAAAGTATCAAATACTATTGACACTTCACAACTAATAGTCTCAGAAATAGTTTGGTAACTATTGCTACGTTGACAGCAAAAAATATAGTGCTGTGTTATTTTGCTATTAATTCTTAGGTCATTTTTGTTGTTTTCAGAAGATTAAAGTTTATTTTAATTTAAA